ACCCACTTTCATATGTGTAAATACATACGTTTGGGTACGAAAAACCTATACTATAACAAACTATTTATAGTTTACGAATTGTTACACTTTTGTAACCCGTTGAGCAAAGTGTATAATTATATAAAAATACATATAAAATTATTTCATTTTCATATTAATTTTATCATGGTAAAATGATAACATTTCATACAAAGGTTTTCATTACAAAATACGTAAACTCGTTGAATCAATTGGTGTGAGACATTGTCCTCAAGTACCTACTGGGGTACCCACAAAAGTCGTGTTTTATAATAAGAGTCTCTCGTAAGAGAGTGTGATACTTGTGTATAGATCTATATTTTTCTATATGAGACTGATAATCTCGCATATAAGTTGTTAGCTATAGCTAGACCGATAGGTCTGAGATGACAAATGTCACAACACTTCGATACCTGAAGAATGTCGCGACCGGCCATTCTTTTCATCGCACGGTTATAAAAACTCACATGGAGAAGCAATGATACATTTAGTTTAGGGAAAAACATTTCTTTAAAAGGCTTTATGTAAATTGAAACCGCATAATACTGTTTTAAATATGGAAAATACTTGTACATTTCGGTCTTATAGAATCTAAGACTACAACTCATTATATGGAAAATATTGGATTTTCTAGAACGAACACTATCGTTTTACATGGAAAAGCTTAAAACTCGTTTTAAGGAAAATATCGGAGTTTTCGGGAACAAACATCATCCTTTACAAGAAAAATTTTACGATTATGAACTCACCAACTTAATTGTTGATACTTTTTCAAACCACTATTATTCTCAGGGAAACACTAAAACAGGTAACTATAAGCTTTTGAGGATGGGACGCTATAACGTCAAACAAATGTTTTATCATCATATTGTAATTCACTTTTGAAACATGTAACACATACAATGACATAACGTTTTCAATTATGTATATGATGGTTGTATGGCTTTGATCATTATTATTCAATTGTTATGATATTGTACATGAAGTCATCCATTCCCGGATGTTTCCGCCCATCTGGTTTTGGGGTGTGACACAATATGCAACACACTATTTTCTAAATTGTCTACAACCATTTCAATTTCATATACACCATCACAAGGCAATGCTTCACGCTAAAACACACTGTTATAATAAACATTAATAGATCTATTCTCATTATTAAAAGAATATCTAAAACCTTTTCTGTACAAACCATGAAAATAAATAATATTCATCGTCATTTCTGACAAGTAGCAACAATTATTCAAGTCTAAACATAATCCACTACTAAGCTTTAAAGAATGAATGTCGATCTTGGTAACAGGTGATGATCTCCTATTGCCCATTATTAGGTTCATCTTCCCAAGCTCCACATTCCTACTTTCTCTTAGTCCCTGTAAGTCAGAGCAAATGTGAAAACCACAACCTGTATCAAGGACCCGAGAATTAGAATGTGATGATTTTTAGACAAAATAATGCAAATACATGTCGAGGTAGGCTTAATATTTCCATCCTTAATGTCCTGTAGGTACTTGGGGAAGCTTCTCTTCCAGTGCCCCTTGTCTTGGCATTAGAAACACGTTGCATCCTATAGATCTGAGATATGGGAGGAAATTTGGTTTTTCCTTTGGGTCCAATACTAGAAGACCCATCACGAGACTTTCTCTTCCAATTTTGCTTAGAGGGAGCTTTCCTCTTTTTCCCCTTCCCTTGTCTAATTGCCATGACTAGAGCAGCAGTAGCAGGAGGAGTGGATTCAATAGTGTTTCCTTTTAATCCACTTTTAGCAGTTCTCATCAAGGATTGAAGTTTACTCATTGTAACTTCCTCTTTGCTCGAATGATAAGTCATTTTGAACAGATCATAGCAAGGAGGCAATGAGTGTAATACTATGTCAATAGCCAGCTCCTCATCAAAGTTCACATTCAGCTTGAGCAAACGATCCACATATCTCTACATGCATTGTAGGTGCGTCGTGATGGACTTTCCATCCTTCATATTGGTGGTAATGAGTGACCTGAGTATCTTATACCTTTCTTGACATGCTCTTTGATGGTACTTCTCCATCAAGTCCTTGCACATCTTGTAAGACTAATAGTCCTCATAGAACCGTTGTAGCTTGGGAGTCATAGTGGCCACCATAATGCAAGATACTTTTGTAGCATTCTTATAGTGAGCCCTATACTCAACTATGTCTTCAGGAGTAGCTTGTGACTCATCTATCTCGTTCAGCTCCTTGCCGAGGACGTCTTCCTTGTCCTGGAAATGCTAGGCCATTCGTATTTTTCAGATCCAATCATTAAAATTAGACCCATCAAATGTCACCTTGGCATAGACGCTCAAGAGAGAGAAAGTGTTAGAGGAGTTGTTGGAGGAACCAAAGCGTTGTTTGAGGTAGACATGTGCAAAAGAAGAATTACAAGTTTTGATTAGATAAGGAATCCTTAATATAACACCAATGAAATATTAAGGCTACGACCTAACACAACTATTCACAATTCAAAAGAGGGATGCCATAATCAAATTGTAAATTATTCGAAGGTAGGTAAATGACGATTTACCAATTCCACCATGAAAATGAAAATTTTAAATGAATTAGATTTTATATGAAATGAAATTCCTAGATCTTTTGAGATTTATTGAACTATTCAACGGCATGTTTAATCTCGATTATGAACTTCAAATTTGTGACTGGGATATCGAGGATCACAAACAAGGTGTGAATAACCATGCAAATTAGTTTAGTTCTCTCGATGTTTTTTACCACCTAATCAATGCATCAGTTAACCATACACACTCCATTGATCAATGATACTTTACAAGTTACCCATTGCCACCCCTTTTTAGTCCAAGTTAGTGTGTCGGTTAACCACACATGCTCCACTAACGACTTGATAAAGTGCAATGGGCAATTTCATGGATTAGCATCAAATTCACATTTTCCTAAAGTAAATAAGATTCGGAATTTGTAAAAACATTTAGTTACTTTATATTTATCAATTATACTTATTAATGCGAGATTAATGTCGTATCCTACTCATTCGTCTAACAACCCTCCACCAATCAAGGAAGCGGTAGGTGAAAGTGGACACTCATTCAACCGCCATTTTATAGGCAGTTTCCTTATACCCTCTTATAGACCGGCTTCGTGAATAAGGCCTACTAACGTTAAGACTGACTTTCGTATACACACACACACACATACATGCATACATACATACATACATACATACATACATATATATATATATATATATATATATATATATATATATATATATTAAACTTTTAATCTTATAATAGTATAACAATGTATTTTAAACTTTTAAAATATCAGGGTTCTAGACTTTAAGATTTCAAAATTAAACTTTTAGTTAAATTTTAAATTCCGAAACCAAATGGGTATTTTTAAAACTTTTCAAAAATACTAGATCAAATTTTAAATAATTAAATTAATCAAATAATTTGTTCTTTATCTTAAACTTTGACCAAATCTCTTAATTTCATCAGGATATTGATTTACTTTTCCAAAAATATCGATTTTAGACATTTAAAACAAATTTGGTAATTATCCTAATCAAACAAAGATATCAAAATTGAAAAACCAGGGATCTAACAACCCGATTCATCGAGTTATTGCAATAAACTCGTCTTGTCCCACTTTGGACACGTCGAGTCTGATGAACATATTAACAAATATATTCCCTCCTCTTTTCGACAATTCACATATGCGTCAAATTCAACCGAAAAACATCCTAGACCCTAATACAACTGGTGGGTTTTCAGCATAACTACATCATATGTGGTCATGCAACTCTAATTGCTTTGGATCTAAGTTTTTCACTAGTTGAACATGCAATTAAATACCAAAGCAATAAACCCTAGATCCAGCATACAGTTTTCGAAAATCATATACCAAAAGGGTTTTAATGATTACCTTACTTTTTATGTAGCAATAACAAGAACTCCTTGTAGATTTTTGACTCTTGAAAGCTTAGTGCTCCAAATATTACACCTCTAATGGCTTACAAACACCAATAGCAAAAGGATGAGAGGAAAGAGGAGGGAATTCTTCAGAATTTTGGCTAGGGTATGTAGCATGTAAGCAGTGGCCGAAAATCACATGCAAGGGATTCCTTATATAGCTGTGTGATGCTAGAGTTTGCTGGAGGAAACCATAATTTCCTGCTTAAGGTTTAAGCAACCCATACACCTCCCATCAATAGGCCTTGGACAAAATCTATTGGGCCTCCCTATAGAATTTCGTTCACTCCCAATTGTGGAGTCCATCTGCCCAGTTTCACAACCATCAATGATTTGCAAAACAACCATTGTTCTTTTAATCAGTCTTTTCAATCCCAAAATTAATTTCAAATTAATTTCTGATTAAATACTAATTAAATAACATGATTTGTAATTAACATATTATTTACTTAATGCAATAATAAATCAATTTATTATCCCAAATAACAAATTCAACCTCTCTCTCTCCAAAAATCATGTTAAGTTGTTAAGGTGAAGGCAATTCAAAAGGATCATGCTACTATCAAATAAAATACACACCCATTATAGTTATAAGCTTAGACACCTAATCCAGTAATCATATCCATGAGTTGTGCTCGTGGTGGGATTGCATGATTTGCACAATGTTGAATCCGGTAAGAAATATTTTAAATCCTTCTTGTTCAGTTTTTGCATTAATCTGTTATATTTATAAGACATCTTTAATTATGATTTATAATTTATGGCTGGTTTTAGCTCCGATGTGTGAGCTCTGTGGAACCCACAAACCAAAATCTGTTGAAGACAATTATAAGACATGGTCGTGAAAAATTTGTACACTGGAAAACAATGTGACATTAGAGAAATGTGGGGCATGTAGGCGGTGGAGATATTCTTATGGCCAACCCATAGCAACCCCATCATCAAATGTGGGTACTTAAAAGAAACAAACGCACATAAATTTAGAATTGTTTTTCTAATATTTTGACAAGAAATGGACTCGAAGAATATGATGTTTAACTTGTTTTGTTCAGAACATGTAAAGAGAACAAGCATCCATCTCTTGATGCTAATTTCATTTTGATGTTTCATATTTTATCTTTTGGGTTGTTGCAGTTGACTGTTGACTGTTGTACTCTCTTATGCTTAAGCTCGGGTCTCTCGTCATCCACCAATGTAAATCATGCCACAACCACATGCATAGCCACATGCACACTCATTCATTAATTCTTCAGTGTAATGTATCCCTTCCTGGTTCTTCATCTCATGACTCATGCGAATTAGATATGCGTCTCCTTTCATTGAGCTCTGATTCTCTTCTAGTCTTGTCCTTGTATAGATAGATTAGAGTCTCAACCACTCATGTCCACCAATGAAGTTTGTATCAAGAAACGGCATTGCTTCTACATGTGCCAATGACTTGGACCATGATACCCGATTCTTTCTATTTGCACCTTTTCCTCTGCACTCGTATTCTCCAAACACAACCGTCCTAGAAACACAAATACATCCATCAACATTCAAATAAATCACTTTGTTTTCTATATATATATATATAACAATGATAATGAAAGTGTGAGAGGTATGGATCGATGGATACCTTTGTCTCCATGGGTGGTTCCAGTCGCTCCAGCCAGAAGGGTCTATGATGTTGTCGATATCACAGTAGGAGTAGACTGCCCTTGAATAATTTCCCCAGGCTCTCCCCAAGTAGATTTTCCCTCCTCTGCTTCCGGTTATTGAACAATTCAGAAAAGAAAATCCAGTGTCCTCTTCTTCGGAGTTCCTATGATGAGCTGCAATGGCTCCATATTTATCAGCAACAGAATGTAGATTACATTCCTACATGCATCAATCAAACCCAAACCCATCATCAGTTAATGAATGAATATGAGGTGTATATATACATATATGATATATTATATATATATACCCACCCTATAGAGCGATCTAGATTCGCCAAAGATGAAATCGATGGATCCTTGTATGTAACATTGGTAAAAGTAGTGAGATCCGTTGGAGTCTAAAAGAGTGTCTTGGGTCCCCAATATCCTTACTCGATAAAGCATCGCCTTGTCCCCTGCAAGTCTTAATGCCACTGCTTGCTGCTTATACCCTCCAGCTACTGCAACAACCGTATTCTGCATGCATTGCATTCATTGTAGATCAATATATATACTATTGCATACGTTAATCATCATGCATGTACATTGTACAATACCTGAATGGTGATGCCTGAAGCACAAAAGTAATCAGATTGTACATCAACAGAAGCGGTTCTATACGTACCGAGTTCAGAACCATCTTTGTATTTGTCTGAGGCTTTGTCGTTCCAACTCAATATGGTTTCTGAAGCCTTCTTTTCATCTCCGATGAAAGAGATATATGGCTTGGAAGGTGGAACAATCACTTTTTCTCTGCAGCATGCATCTCTATCACATCATATTCACTTGAGAAATCCATAAATTAACAATGAATGAATTAATCTTGCTTAATTTGCATATACGCATGTGTAATACCTACCTGTAAAAACCAGGAAGAATGTAGATCTTGACCCTGATGGAATTGTTGAATGGGACCATATCAACAGCAGCTTGTACAGTATGGGCATGACCCTTACCCTTTTGATCAACGATGATCACTTTACTCCCATTCCCATCCCCGAAACTTAAGCTCTCTATTTCCTTGTAGTGATAGTATTCCTCTATCTTGATATCGTCCCAAGTGATATAACTACTCTTCACTTGATTAACAGCATAAATCAGGAATGAGAAACCAACCAAAATGCCAAAACCATTGAAACCCATGGTGATTGATGATGTCGGGAACGATCGAGTTTGTGATAACTGGGTCGGGTACTATCCAAATCAAAAACTACACGCTACAAGGAGGGGGGAGAGAGAGAGAGAGAGAGAGAGAGAGAGAGAGAGAGAGAGAGAGAGAGGTTAATTAATGATAGGATGAGCGTTGTATGTATCTATGCATGGAATATGGTTGTTTGGATTAAAACGGAATGCAAGAAACAAGATTAGTTGGTGTGTTCTTCTTACATGTCAATTAGATTAAGATTGTATTCATGTGGTGTATGGATGTCTGTAAGTATATACCTAGAGAGATTGAAAAAGAATAAAAAAATCAAACAAACAAAGGTGAGTTGTTGAGGAGTAGTTATGGAAGTAGAAAATCTAAATTAAGTTGATTAACTGTAGTTGTGGGTTTGCTGAAGAAGCTCAAGGAACTTGATTATCCATCTCGATCCTTCTTCTTCTTCTTGATGTTAGTGGGAATGCGTGAAGGTGGTTTATTTAGTAACTATAGAAATGGAAAATGGGATTCCAAGGAGAAAAAATTACATAAATGGTCCTTGTGGTTGATGACCAACTTTGGTCCTTATGATAAATTTTATTTGTAGATGGTCCTGTGTTTTTAAAATATTACGACGACAGTTTTTTTGGATTACGGTGTTAACCTTTTTAGTTAAGTTACTTGTGAAATGATCTATTTGCCTTTCATATCATAATGATCATTTTTGTAATTTGTTCCTCCCACACGGACCATTTATATAACTTTGGTTATTATTTATTATTTTTTTATTAAAGTTATTTATATTTATATGATTTAGAAAGTTTTTTGACGTTTTGTTCGGATATATATATATATATATATATATATATATATATATATATATATATATATATATATATATTGTTTGTATTTTTTGATATTTTGTTCGTATAAAATTTTCTAATTTTTTTTTTTTGATATTTTATTCGAATACATTTATAAAATTTTCTAATTTTTTTTTTTGATATTTTATTCGAATACATTTATTAATATTTCTTTTGACTTTTTACTTGAATAATTTCTTCTATTTTTCTCTTGATGTTTAGTTTAAATATATTTTTTAGTGATTTTTTTATATTTTGTTTGTTTATATTTGTTAAATGTTTCATGGTCACTATAACCGTAATTCATAACTTAATTCATTCATAATCTGTTTTTCTATTTTTTTTATTTTTTCAATATAAGTAAGGTTATATAATTATTTTTTTTTTAATTCGTTGCCCTTTTGCTTTCTCATTCGTTGTACGACGATAATTAAAATTTATTAATCCAAATATATAACTATATAACACATATAAGGTTGTATAATTATTATTTTTGTAAATCGTATTTTAAAGATTATTTTTTAAATATATAAAAAAAACTTTGTTAAATGGTACATATATGTTAATCGAAAAAAATGTATACAAAAATTAAATAACTTGAAAATACTAAAATTAAGTCTAATGTGTAATGAAATTGGCTCTCTCATCAAAACTACGAGACAGACATATTTTAGCTAATGTATACCTAATTTATATTAATTATATTCACGTTGAACAAATTTTTGTATATTTTTTTTTTATTAAAAATGTTTATAAAAAGCTTTACAAAAATAATAATTATACAACTTATATGTGTTATATAGTTCTATATTTGAATTATTAAATAATACTTATAAAACCTTATCTATATTAAAAGAACAAAAAAGGAAAATATGATTGTTAATGAATTAAGTTAGGAATTATGATTACAATGACAGTGCAGACACTACACGACATTAAGGTAAGTTATCATTCAGTAGGAGTGGGTCTAAGGCACCAAGGACGACCCACTAGGAGTCGATTATTGTTGAGATGATTGTCTTTGTGATAATTGTTCGGGTTGCTATTACTTGATGTGTTCTATGTGCTGGTATGATATGTTATATGTGATAGTGGTAGTAGGAGGGGACTAGTTCCTGGTTCGATCGTTAGGACCGAAGGGTAGGTCGGACACCCTAAATATGTCTGACAGCATGAGTATGATATATTGTTATGTGATAGTGTTAGGGGTGAAATAGTCCCTGTGACCGAGTGAGATAGACGAGAGGGTAGGCAGGCACCCCAAAATTGCCTGATACGGGTAGGTCAGCACCCCAGAATGGCTTGACATGAGGTCAGCACACCAGAATGGCTTGACATGGGTAGATCAGGCACCCTAGAATTTCCCGACAGTATGTATAATTGTATGGTATGTGGTATGATGGGGTAACTCACTAAGATTAATGCTTACAGTTTTTAGTTTTGGTTTTAGGTACTCCTTTAGCTATGGGGAAGGAACCGGCAGGATGGTAGCGTATTGCACACAAATGGTTTCTGCTTTGAGAACCCTGTGATTGTACTCTGACATTTTTTCTATTTGATGTTATGGTCTTCGAGATTTGTGATTTGTGACTTGATGTTTTAAAATGATAGCAACGATGTTTTCCGTAAACTATTTTTATAAGTAATATAATTAAACAAAAAAATTTAGATCTCGATTTTGAGATGTTACAAAAAATTTAAATGCTTTTGCTAATAAAGTGAGAAAAAAGATAGTTGAAAATATATGCGATTCCAAATATTGTATAATCGTTGATGAGGCAAGTGATGAAAGTAAGAAAGAGCAGATAGCCATTGTTCGTCGATATGTTAACAATAAAGGTTACATACAAGAAGGGTTTTTTGATCTCATCCATGTTGAAGATGCATCATCTTCCACTTTGTATTCTTCTATATGTGTAACTCTTACTTATAACAAACTTTTTTGTTGAGAATCTTCGTGGATAGGGGCATGATGGAGCTAGCAACATGCATGGTGAATGGAAGAAATTACACACATTATTTCTCAAGGATTATCCATGTGCTTATTATATACATTATATGGCTCATCGATTACAACTTGCATTGGTTGCAGTAGCTAGAGAAGTAGACTCTAAACATCAATAATTTGGAAATTTATCTTTCATTGTAAATGCCGTAAGTGCTTCTTGTAAACGCCAATATGTACTACAAGCTGCTCAAGATGCTGAAATTGCAGAAAGGCTAGAATCTGGTGAAATTGAAACTGGAAAAAGAGCCAATCAAATTGGTACTTTAAAGCGTACTTGAGACACTCGTTGGAGCTCACATTTTACTTTCATTACGAGTCTTCTTAGGATGTACAATTCAACTTGTACAGTTGTGGAAAACATAAAAAACTGGGCTCTAATTACAAAACAAGAGGTGATGCTAGTACTGCCTTTAAAAGTGTAACAACGTAAATTTTCAAACCAAATTTTTCATTTTTAATTTCATAAAACACATTTCATTTTAAATAAACACCAATTAATAGTCAACAAAGTTTTCAAAACATTATCAAACTCCAGGATCCCCATTCACGACTCTTTTCTCTTGGGTGTACAATCGACCCGCCGCCTCCCCGCGATCTTGATAAGAACCTGAAACACATAACACATAACACGGTAAGCACAAAGCTTAGCGAGTTCCCCAAAATACCACATACAACATACAAGCCACTCGAGGCTATAACTCAATGATGCCTTCCGGCCTATAACTCTGATTGCCTTCCGGCCATAACTCTGATTGCGTTTTGGCCATAACTCTGATTGCCTTTCGGCCATAACTCATAGCATAATATCACATAGACAATATGCATAACTCAAGTAAGCACATAAGACCCTCCGGTCACACATAAATACCACTCTAGGTAACATATAGTGAGAAGACTCACCTCAGATGATGAAAAACCCCTATAAACGTTGCTGCTACGCACCGGCCACTAACTGTGTGCCAAACCTGTAATTATCTCCATTAGAACTAAGTTCAACTCTTACTTATTGGGTCTAGAGGTTGATCAATAACTAGCCCATCAATATCCTAAACCCATTGGCCCCACCAAGGCCTAATAATAAATGGGCCCTCTCATGGTCCAATTCTTAAACTAAATGGCAAGCCCAACATTAGATACACTCCCCAAGCTCACTAAAGGCCCACTACGCTAAACTGGGCCCACTCCCTCCAATGGGCCTCACTCCAAGCCCAAATATATCCTTGGACCATAATTTCTGACTATTAATAGCCAAACAACCAAATGAATGGCCTAAAGAATGGCCCAAAACACACAGTACAACATATACGAGTTACGCGGGCCATACACCTATGTACGCTAAGCATATCGACTCGCTGGGAAGTATGTAGGGCGTACCTGCACGTACACTCAGCGTCACCTTCATCCTCTTAATCCTTAAAGTCGTAATCTTGGTGACTTGCAATCCACCAAATAACTAAAACTCCAAAGGCAACATCATACTTTCATAACAAGGGCTAGACATCATGCATGAACACAAATGGGGCATCAAGATGGAAACTTTACTGCATAAAGGAGCCTTTTAGTCCTGAGGGTGGCAACCCTAATCTGAAAAACGAGATTACAACATAAAGGTACGAACATGGGACCAAAACAACTCCAAAACTCCACTACACAAGATCTATGTATTCTTGAGTAAAGTTATGAACTTTATACCTCTGAAGAGCTCCAAAGGATGATGGTATTCCAGATCTATGAGCTCCAAGCTCCCAAGTTCTTCCTTGCCAACTTCTTCTTTTGAAAACCCAAGCTTACATCACCAAGATAACTCTCTTGAAGACCAAATCACTCAAGGTTGAAGATTTTAGATGTTTCAGGGCTTCTATGAGGTTAGGGAACAAAATGGAGGCTAGGGTTTCCTCCATATTGTTCTATAAATAGTGGCACACCCTTAATTTAAGGTTTATGGACTCTGGACGTATGTTGGGCGTATGCCAAGGAGCACCCGTGATCATTTCCCTTGTACGTTGGGCATAACCCATCCTTATGTTGGGCGTACCTACGCGTTTCCATTTCACATGCATGGCCTTCCATGCGAACTTTTCTTCTTAAGGGACCATTTATTTCAAAAACCTCCAAGTGTCATATCTTCCTCACCTTATGTTCGTTTTCGGAGAACTTTATATTCACGAAAAGCTAACAAGAAGCTCTACACTTCTGTCAACTTTATATATACCAGAGCCCACCCGAGCTCAGATCCAAAATTTATGAAAAGCCCAAACCAACACCTGC